GGGCAGGATTAGTGGGACTGTAGCCTTCACAGTTCAGCTGCTTGCAGATGAGTAATTAGAATCCTCCACCCAGTAGCACCAGTATCTCCTTCTCAGTAGCACTGTGAGGTAATATGAAGAGTTGCATTAGTCATAGTGATAGTTGAAAAAACAAACAAACAAACAAAAAAACAAAACTAAACTTAAATCTTTTTTTCCCCTTTCTGCTATTGTGACAATAAGAACATCCTCCCACACTGAGAGGCAACAGTTTGGCCTTTCCTACAAGTTGCTGCGAAGGGCGTATCCAGCAAGCACAGGTGGATCTGGGAGTGTGATTGGTGGTGTGGCTCTCTGCAGTAAAGGTGGGTGTGGAGAGTAGCCTGCTATATAGCTGGGGCTGCTGGATGTGGTGTCTGTGGTAGGCTTGGTAGCACAGTTGGAGAGGATGTCCCCTAATATGGGATCTTCCTGCTAGTAAATCCCTTTCTGGCCTGTACTGAAACACTGAAGAATAAGTATATTTTTTTGGTGTTGTTTCTAAAGGCTGTAATCTAGTTGGGTGTCAGGGTAATATATAAGGCTAGATTTTGTGTGGTAATTTCATAGCAATCCCTTAATGTGCAAGGCTGAATCTGTTGTGACTTCCAGAAACGAAGTGGGGTCTGTGAGAGGATCTAGTTTATGCTTTGAAGTTTGTTTAAAACCTGTGCAAATAGCAGACAGGCTGCTGTCAGCTGTAGTTGCTAAAAACTACTCTACTGTAATTAAAAGTTAACCTATAACAACTTCCTGATAGGCTTTATAAGAAAATTAGCTATCTTACAGTGAAGCTAGGCTAGCAAATATTATTGTAGAATGACTTTCTGCTTTCTCTCACCCTTGGAAAAAAGTTTGCTTCTTAACTCTCATAAAAGATCAGAGAATAAAACACATTACTGCTCTTTATGACAATGTTTCAAATTCAGATAAAACATTTTCTAACTTGGTTGCAATTATAGGGCATGGTAGGGGGAAAAAAGTGAAGACATAAAATTACATGAAGGTTTAATTCCTTAGTAGCAAGTATACACTTTACTACTGCTTCTTCAGAAAAGCAAAAAGTAGGTGCACTTTTCTCCTAGCCTAATCAATTACATACAAAATTGACTTTTGTCTTTTTTTGTTTGTTTGGCTTGTTTTTTTTTTTTAACAAAAGTTGTTGCTTTGGATACTTTATGCAATTCACATAGAGTAGTCTGTGTCAGCAAGATACAAAAATTGGGGTTGAAATGCTTCTGCTGCCTCATTACAGATCCCAAGTCAAGAATCAATAGGAAGACATATATAAAAGTCGGCAGTGAGCCACCAAGGCCTAGTTTGTCAATCTTCATATGAGAATAAATACTTTATCCAGCACAGAGACAAGTGCTAGCCCTTAGATCTGTAAAGAGAGTAAATCAGTGCTTTCCTTGTTTTCTGCTGACTATGTTATTAGCTGTTCACAGTTTGGTATCATGCAGTGATGATTTACTGTAACAAAAATTGCCAAGTCATAAGCTTTCTTTCTGGACATTAATAAGTTTTGTCCAATTTAGGCAAAATATTATTTTTAATTTTCTGTTTCACCTGTTGTCCTAATTATAAGTTATGTTCTCATAAAACTTAGTAAGTCTCTTGATAATTAATTTAAAAATGATAACTTTGGGTATCCCGTGAAAGATATCTGGAGGGAAAGTGTAGAACCTCATTCCCCTGAATGAGAAGATGAGAGATTAATGTACTTCTAATGGTGTGAAGCATTATTCTTAGAAATAGCAATGTGTTGAAGCATTTTTGTGACAAGTTTTTCAGTGTTTTATTACTGTTTTGGATAACTTCCTTTTCTTGCAATAGCATGTATTGGTTGGTCTCCAATCACTTGATTTAATGCCCACTCTCTGGTTTTTCTAGGGCATACTATTTTTCCTGTACCCATCCTGAAAAAAAACTGTAAGGCTAAAGTACAGTGCAGACAATTAGCTCCTTATTCATTGGCATGCACAGATTGAATCTACTACTGTTACTTTCTATCTAGGTGTTGATTGTTTGTTTCCATGTGAAAGCTAATAATGTCTTTTTTTCTTTTTTTCTTGCTTTGTTAATGATGTCTACAACTGGACCTGTTATCAATTTAACCTTTGGGCATGGATGGATTAAAAAATATTATTTCCCCCTCTTGTGTCCTAATGTTTTCAGTCAGTCTGCATTTAAATAGCTGAACAATGAAATCTTAATTTTCCTCTCAAGCATGTGATAATCTCTTCCTTACTTTACTGGTTGCAGACTAGATTCTCCCATGATGAATCGTGCATTTGAACATACATTATGCTGGCTTGGGTCCGGGTTGAGTCTGTAATTTTACTTGTATTTGATGTAAATATATATATACATATATATACATACACATGCATTAATTATGTTTTGTTTCTTCTCTATATTTTTTGCTTTTACTTCCACATACCTGTGTGCCCCTGCCCCTCCCCATACAATACCCCTCAAGCCTTTATAACATCATGGCTTGTCCCATGGTCCAACAACTTCTAGGAGTGGGGAAATAGATAGAATCTTCTATAACTTTCAGCTTCTTGCACAGGGGCACTGTTTACTATGAATCATTACTAGGACGCTGAGGCTAATCTGTCCAGATTTAATCAAAGGCTCCTAAACAGGAGCATAAAGGTTTCTAAAGCATTTACTGTAGCCTTCAGACATGTTATTAATGAATGTTATCCCTCTTGCCTCCTTTTGTGAAGGTGAACAGCTTTTATGTAACATTGATACAACAGCTGCTGAAAGAACTAACACTTCTTAATCCTGATCATCACAGTATCAAAGTATATGTATGGATAACACAATCTAACAAGTACATCTTTTAACAATTGGTTTTAAAATTTTAGGTTTTTAATGGTATTTTGGCAAATATTGCAGTTGAAACAGTTTGGTTTTTTCTGAGCGTACTATAACTGGTGAGGCTTGTAATGCTTGGCTTTAATGCAAAAATATAAAGGGAATTCCCCCTCCTCATCCATTATAATCCTCTGTAGTTTTTTCACTGTTGGCCTTTTCCCTTCCCCCATCTTTATTTCCTTTAATATCTCAATCCTGTCTGACAGAGTAAAAAAAATGCTCTCTTGTAAAATACTGCTCCTAGTTTTGTATTTGAAAACACACTATCCTAAAACTGGGGAGAAAGCCATTGTGTTTGAGGCTTTGTGTCCATCCCTTCTCCCTACTTTCTCACTGGGGAAACAAAAAATACATGAAATACATTTGCTTTGAGTCAGTAACTTCTGTCTTCTGGTTTTCCAAGAATAGCCAAATGCTGCCATTGGCTCACTAGCTGTCAGGGAGACAGTGGAGACTGAGAAATTAATGCAGCCTCTTAAAAATACCAGCCCAAATGCATGCTCATCATGAGTCATGGCTGAGTGCTTGGGTTATTTCACTCCTGCAGTTTTTCTTTAGCAGAGACCCAGAGTCACAGAATGGGTCAGGTTGGAAGAGACCCCCAGAGTGGGTCATCTGGCCCAACCTCCCTGCTCAATCAGGGACCTCCTAGAGCAGGTGGCAGAGGATTGCTTCCAGACGTATCTTGAATATCACCTATCAGGGAGACTCTGCAACCTCTCTGGACAGTGTGTTCCAGTAGGTGGTGACCTGTACAGTAAAGAAGTTTTTCTTCATGTTCCACTGGATCTTCCTGTGCATTGCTGCCTGTTGCCTCTTGTCCTATTGTTTGACACCTCAGAGAAGAACATGGCTCTTTTCTCTGACACTCTCCCTTCAGGTACTTATGGACAAGGGTGAAGTCCCCTCTCAGTCATCTCTTCTCAAGGCTGAACAGGCCCAGTTCCCTCAGCCTTTCCTTGAGAGATCCTCCAATCCCCTCAACATCTCTGGAGGCCATACCATTTGTAGGAAATGGACTCTTCTTGACCCTTCTTGAGAGTACTGTCTGAACTCCTTCCCTAATCTGTCCCTTTTTAATTAACATGTGACTTTTGAGATGTGTGTGTCGAAGGGGAAAGCTTGAAAAGCCAGCGCTTGATGAGAACTGATGGCCTATAAAAATAGGTGAATGTGGAAGTCAAAATTTAAATCTGTGCGAGATTCATGGTGTACCCATGGCCTGCTGTGTTGTTTTCTCTCTGTAAATCCCAATGGTTCTGTGTTTTTAGGTGTCGTAACCTGCAACAAATCCTGTGATGGGAATAGACATGCAAGGGGTTTGGTAACACTATGTATTGAGAGTATATGGGGGTAGGGGCAGCTCAAAAAAATGGTGAGATTACTATCTTACTGTAGGTTTGGAGCCTTAAAAGTGTATGCTGGACAAATTTCTTCGTGTCCTGCTGCAAGGAGAAGATGCAGCACTTTGCTAGGAGCCAGGTCCAGGGAGAAGAATGAGTTTGGAAGGGGAAAGGACCTTGGGCCGGGCTCCTTAGAGGTGAGCCTGCAGATGGCATGCCTGAGTTAGGGGCAGTGTTGGTAGCCCAGCAGAAGTGCCTCTGCAGCATTTAGGTTTAGGTTGGGTATCAGGAAGAGTTTCTCCACAGAAAGGGCGATTAGACACTGGAATGGGGTGCCCAGGGCGGCGCTGGAGTCACCATGCCTGGAGGCCTTCAAGGAAAGACTGGATGTGGTAGTGCCACGGTGTGGTTGATACGGTGGTGTTGGGCCACAGCCTGGACTCGATGCTGGGAGCGTTTTCTAGCCTGACGACCAGCCCCTTCCCGAAGGCTGCGCCTCACGCTCCAGCACCCGCGGCGGCCGGGAGCGCCGGGCCGCGCCGCCAGGGGGCGCTGCGCCGGGCGGGCGGGGGCGGGGCTGCGGGCAGGCCGCGCGCAGGCGCAGCGCTGCCCCCCCGGCGGCGGCGGCGCGCGTCCCCTGCCGCAAGGGCCGCCGGTCCGTCGGCGGCGCGGGGGCGGGCGGGCGGCCCGGGCCCGGACATAAGATGGCGGCGGCGTTGCTGGGGCGGCGGCGGCGGCGGTTGCGGCTGTCGCGGAGCGCGGGCGGTGCGCGGCTCTGCCCGGGCTCGCAGGGCGGATAGAGCGGGGCCGGCGCGGCGGAGCGGGGCCGCCATGGGCTCCCAGGTGCTGCAGATCCTGCGCCAGGGCGTGTGGGCGGCGCTGAGCGGCGGCTGGTACCAGGACCCGCACCAGGGCGCGGGGGTCAACGCGCTGCACCTTTACCTGTGGCTCTTCCTGCTCGGCTTCCCCTTCACCCTGTACATGGTGAGCGCGGCCCCGGCCCGTGCCGGGGGTCGGCCGGCCCTTGCGGGGCCCGGCGTGGGGGGGAGGGCCGGGAGGGGCCGCCGCGCGCGCGCCCCCTGCCCGCGGCGCGGCCCCGGGAGCGGCCCCGGGCCCCGCGGCCGGGCCCCTCCGCGGGCAGCGGCCCGCGCCCCGCCAGCGCGGCCCGGGGGCAGCGGCCCGCCGCTGGGAGCCTGCGGGTGGGCGCTGTCGGGCCGCGGCGGGGCTGTGGGCGCTGGCGCTTCGCCTTCGTTGCTGTTTACTTTCCTTCAAAATTGGAAATGCCTCTGTCAGCTTCCGCTGCTGTCTCCTGGTAGGTCAGTAAAAAGCAGTTTCTGCAGGAACTGTCAGATTTAGCCAGTGTTTCTGGCCGGCAGCGGTATCAGTTTCTGACTTTTGAGTCTGATGGAGGGATGTGGTTCCATAACCTAGAAGTTTTATTTGGATGTAGTGTGGTGTGTTGGCTGGCAGTGTATCTGGGTGGTGTGTTACTGACAAGAAGTTAGTCTGGCTTTTTTGTTTGTGTCCAGATTTCAGTGTACTTGGTTTGTGAGAATTCCTGTCCTATATATCTTTGTAACTGACATTTCGGTAAAAGCTGTTAAAATACTAACCTTTAAACCTAGAAACTTTCTTGACGTTTGGACTTGAGAGCACATAGAGGAGAGGTGTGATCAGATACAAGAAAAGGGGGTGGTTTCCTGTTGGCCAGTAGTTTTTTTCCATGTGTAAGCTGTGTTTAACTTATGAAATGCTAATATTTTACTTTGGATTTTTCAATAGAAGAGTGTGATCATAATAGTGAGTCATGGCCAGTTTTGTCCAGATGAGGTAGAACATCATTTTCAAGATTGTCAGATGCTGTGACAGCATAAAGTAGATGCTGCTTTGTGAAAATTTAGTTAGTGAATAAAATGTTGGAGATAAAATCATATGCAAATACAGTTGCAGAAATTCACAGCTCTGAGGCCAGGCTTTTGCTTTGTTTAAAAGCAGTTTGTAAGGTTGCAGTATGAGATACTTCATACAAAGAAATAGCTAGTGTGGAAAAGGAGGTTACAACTCTATGGTTTTTAATTCATATTACAGTGTCTTGAGAAAGACAGCTCTAACACTTTTTCTGGGCTGCTGGCAGGGAAACTAAATGCTGAGACAAATTGCATTTAAAACTGAAGTTACATTAGAACTGCTGGATAAAACTTTTAATTAAGCCGATCTCTTGTATGAGAACTATGACTCTGTATCTATTGAAAGTTTTGCACACTATAGGAAGAGGAGACACCTTTTGGTTTCAAATATAGCTTTACAATTTTTGAAATAAAAGTACTGCTTTTCTGTTTTGACAGAACAGTCTGTTTAATTAGTACTGCCTTGCTGAGGAAGCTGACCACACCTCTAAGAACAGCTATATCCTGCATGCACAGGAGGCTTTTGAAAGGGGACTGATCTATATTGCACATAAGTCTTTTGACAAATGGTAAATCTGGGCCAACATTTGAGTCCCCTGCTGCTCTTAAAGTAGTAGTTAAGCTTCAGTTACCCATACAATGGGGTAAACTTCAGTGTTGCTTAAACACTTTTTCCTGTGTAAAGGGAAAAGACAGCAGCAAGTTGCTTTGGCTTTTATTGAGGTCAGAGAAATTCTCTTGCTTCATAGCTCTGGACAAGTTAAAGATGCAACAAGTGCCAACTTCCCTGAGAATAAGTAGGGAGATTAGTCACAAGTTAAAGGAGATTGAATCATATTTGGCCATTTTCCCTCTTTCCACCCTCTGCCGTTTAAGTGTTGTCTAGACATAAACTAAACAGGCAGAACTGTGTTGGTCATCTTAGCTCCTTAGCATCTTGTAAGCTCTTTTTCAGAATAAAAAGCAATAAGTGTTGCATTGCTGTAGGATATACATAAATAAGCAGAACTTGTTTTAAAAAGTCTTAGGTAATTGTAATCTGAATTCTGAGCATGGCTCACTGGTGTGTAGGAGGGAGTTTCTAAGCTAGCTTCAAGTGACTTGTTGCTGGCAGACAACCCTGTGTGTTTAAAAAATCAAGGTGTATAGAAAGACTGCTGACAGGTTTTATATTACTTATAAAACGTCCCCATGTAAAGAATTACAAGATCATAGCATTGCTTTTATGCATTGGATCAGTAATAACTGCAGTTATTTCCAAGTTGTTTTTTAGCAACAAAGACAAAAATATCCCCTAAGAACTTTGCTTGTAGCTGGCTCTCAAGGCTGAATGCGTTTAATAGTAGGCTAATCACTTTTCCCCCCAAATGTTATTTAACCTCCAACAGGAATAAAATGCACTAGGATATGGGAATTTAGGTGCACTTACTGCTTTAAGACTTGGTTTAGTGCACTGAACATTGCTGCTCTTTTTTCTGTGCATTTGTTTTGTTGATCTGGTATTTTCAGAATGGAATCTGGTAATGGTTGTGGTCAGTAAGTAATGCCATAAATCTGTGTGTTCCTTTGTATGTGTATGCTTGTGCTGTTAGGGTTGATGGATTTAATGTGTGGTACAAACTTACTTAAAAAAATTAACATTAGAATTCAATAACCAACCTTTCTTCCTTGGTCCCTCATCTGCCTTCTGAGCTTAACAATGTGCAAGTGAATGTTGTACCCTGTGTGAAGATGATGAGTGTATACCTAAATGTACCTATTTTGCCAGTCTGGATACTTTTTTTCTTGTGTCTTTATGCAGTTAAACTGTGCTTGTTGGAAGTGTGACAAAAATAAACATGTAGATAATGAAGGAACTGGGGGTTAGAGTAAGTTATGCCTGCTTTAGGGAAGCTGCTTGAATTTGTCTTCTTGCATTTGTGGTTTGGCAGTACGTGTACAAAAATTCTGCTTTCTAGACTAGTTAAGTCTATCCTGTTTGTGTACTTGTATTCAGTAACAGATTCAACTGTGCTTGTTGATGTGCCTTTCTGTTGTAAGAGCTGGTCTCTGCTTTTACTCTAATGCAAAACTGAAATTGGGAGAAGAAAATGTGCTTTCTATATGGCGAAGCTGTCCAATCACTTTTTAAAATCTAGTGGTAGAGTGAAAAAAATACCCTGAATGCAGAGGCCAATGTGATGCATCAGTGTCGCAGCAGGGAGGGGAAAGAGAGGAGGCTGCCAAAGCACTTCCCTTAGTCGGAATGCTGTTTCAGCCCCACCACGTATGCATGAGGGGGTGAAATCTTGGCTCTGGCACCTGTGGAATTTTGCCAGTGAATGAAGAGGTGCCAGGACTGTACCTTGCTTGGGGTGATGGGCTCACATGTACCTACAGAACTTGTCTGTCAAAGTCGAGCTCGTTTAGTCAACAGTTCACTTAATTTCCTGACTTGTGTACATAGTTATAGAAGTAGGTCATATAAATGTAGCTTCACATGGAAGTTTTTGAGATACATCCTGTTTCCTAAAGTAAGATGTTAAATAATTGAAATTCAATTTGTGATAGTGATCCCTGGTATGCCATATTGTTCTAAAACACTTGTAGTTTCTTGGCTACTCAAGTTTTGATTGTATGCTTTGAGGTTTTGGTCAAAAACTAGATAACTTGTAACTGAACGTTCTTCCATATAATGGCAGTTCTTAAGGGCTCTGTCCCTAATCAAGAATTGAGAACAAAACTATGTCTGTTTCCTGATCTTTCCTCTTTTCTAGGAAAACTGTTTCTGTAAAATACTGGATTCAAAATACTTGTACTTTCAAGTATTTTTACTAGATTACTTACTTCTTAATGTTTAGGTGATAACACCTTTATATAGGGATCTGCAATCTGGTTTGATTTTGAAGACTTAATTGTTAAAAACACTTACAGTAATGCATTTTTTTTTTTAAATAATATGGAATTATTTTTACATCTTTGGTGCCTAGCTAAAGCTATGTAATCAGATTAGGTAGGATCCTTATAGTGTTAGTTTCTTCATAAGGATGTTGTACAGCCTGTGATCAATGAAGTTGCCTCTGATTCCTGGCTGGAATGTGCTGAAAACATTCATTTGAGATACAGTGACCTTCTGTAGTTTGAATGGAAGTATTTTAGTGCTGGAACTGATGCTGGGAGGTTTCTATTCTGTTTTGACCATTGGAATCTAGGAGTGCTTAAACCTTTTTCTACCTACTCTTTTTAGAAGAGGTGTGTTGTGATACAAGTGAGCTAATTTTACAGCCAGGATACTTCAGAAGAGATAGTCCTCCTTAACTATGCTTTCCTGTATCTTACCTTTGTCCATATATATGTCTTTCATTTGTTGACTCGGAGGATTTAAATTTGGAAAGCAACTTGTGGGAAAGGTGGTAGAAAACCAGTGTCCTTGCCTCTTCCCCCATATTTGAGAGAACTACTTAGCTTCCCTTTAAGACTCAGAGAAATAATCTCAGGTATGAGTTTATCTAATAGTTGGGTTTGTTCAGTCATTAGATAACTGAAGTTTTCAACAGAACATTATTAAAAGCACACAGTTTTATATGGTTCTGTGTAGCTCTTGATATTGTACGAGAGATCCTGTTGTGATGGCTGCTGTGGAGTAGTATGTGTTCTTTTGGTGCTAATGCGAGTAGAAATGTGCAGTAAAAGTGAAATACTGTTGCAGCTGTAGCCTTGTGGCCAACTGGTGTTTAGTAACAATTCTAGCCCGAGGGTTTTAGTGTGCTGGGCTCAATTAAAATACTTCAGTATGTTAAATTATTTTGATTTTAAAATGTAATCTAGTAGGATATTGCTATGACTTATAGATTTATATTCCAGTCTTGAAGGTGATATCACATGGGATGCTGGTAGGAAACATATCTCTCCTCAAATGGGGTAAAATGATGAGCACAGTTGGAAATGGTAATCTCACTTTAACTTGCTTTGTTTTGTGGGGAGAAGACCCCAAATTTATGTTGAATGCTTCTAAGTTTGGTTTAGGAAAACAGAAGTTTAGCTTAGGCTGCAGTAAGTTTCCTCTTGAAGCTTTGCTGCAGACAAGTTGCTGGTACTATGGGTGGCAGTGCTGTACCACAGCATGATACTCGATGTCGTGTGTTCATATGGCACGCTAAGCTAGCTAAAGTGTCTTTTATTCCCAGAATATATACCCTGTTCTGAGATGAGGACCTACTACAAATATGAAGAAGAAAAGGTAGTCAGTTAACTTAGCTTTTTAAAAATTTTTCTGCAACCCTGTGAAAACAGGATGTGAGGAAAAAGTTTGAATTCCCTGTTAGGTTTGCTGCGAGTTACAATGAGGTGTTTTGCCTTTTTTCTTGTGCTTGTTCTTAAAGCTTTCCTTTGAAAAACTGGATGTGTAGATTTTGCAGATGAAGTGGATATACTGTGGCCTCACTGCTGATGGAGTAGAGGGGAGAAATTTATGAGCTCTCTTAGAAGAGTACAGGCATGTATTTTATGGAGTAACTCTGTTATCTAGCATTAGTCTGATGCTTCTGAACACTGGGTCTTATAAAGGAGAGGAAAGGTGACGCTGTGTGTGATGGGGTAGCAGACTGCCTAGCAGGTACAGGAAGCTCATGCATTTTTCCAAAATTAACAGGCTGGCCCTTGCCTGCAGGGAACCGACTCTGAAGTTTTTGCAAGTAGAAGCACCTCATTTCTTGAGGAAACCATCCTAGCATGGCTTCAGGGGTTGTAGAGATGCCATGTCATTGTGGATCCTGTTTGCTTATTGATGCTGGTTTTAAGTAGCTTGTTTCCTTTTTCTCCTCCTTAGCTGGTGCTTGGTGAGTGAATCTCTGTTCATCATGTTGATGTCCAGCTCAGCATACAAAATGAAACTTAGCAAACTTCAGCTTAATTTGCCTGGGCTACTTCAAATATTATATTCAGTATTGAGTTAACTTGTTTTGGAGGAAAAGGTAGGTGTTGATGGTTGTCAGACTTGATTTGTTTTGGAGGAATAACCTTGCTAGGTTTTAAAGAGTCATCATGGTGATCAAAGTTCCAGGGGCATCTTGAAGAGTCAAAGGGGAAAATGCATAGAGAAAAGGAAAAGGAGGCCTCTCTATTCAGCACATATGACCAGGCTGAGTCCTTTAAAATTGTTTGACTACTGTGGTTAAGTTATGCTACTTAAAATCCTTCTAAGATTCAGGGGAATAGTTTTAGGTAGGAGATTGTTACATTGCATAATGTTAGGCTATGTTGTCAGCCAGTCAATTTTAAATGGCTCAAAATGTTTCTATGCACTGGTTAGAGAGGCATCGCTGTCTTCTACTCTGAGCATTGTTTTGACTCTGCAAGATGTTCCTGGGGCTTTTTTATCAATGATGACTTCTCTTCCCATGGTCTCTCTAGGGAGATATGAAAACAAGCTCAAATTGTCCTTCAGCCATGAAGTCTAAAATGACAGTTCATTTGTTCTACTCATTTGCTACATTAATGTTCAAGCTAGATATCAGATATTTAATTCTGTCTGTATGTATTTTTATATATTGGAGGTGTATCTCAAACTACACTGTTAGCAGGGTAAAGTAGTGCAGTGAAATACTTCAAAACCTAAACTTTCGTTGCTTTTGTAAAGGAAATTGTCAATTTTGGGATGAATACTGAGACTTAATATCTCATTTTGTTTAATCACTGCCTAGGGAAACGGCAAAATTTAAAAACACAAATAAAGCATGTTTTAGAAGGATAAATGCGTTTAAGTGAAATCTGAAGTTTAACCAGTACCTTGAGCACTTCTAAATAGCTGTCAGGCTGAACTTCATCAATACCTACTGCGCAAGTGACTGATTTGTAGAAGCCTTATCTACCTCTGCAAGAGCTGCATGCATTTCACTCTTAACTTTGAGTGGAATTTCAAATGTTGCGTTCAGGACAGAGGGTTTTTTAATGTGGCTTCTCATGGCCTTTCATACAGATGAAAAATTTTCTTCAGAACATGTGTTGGCTACCTTTTCATGGGTGTACAATGATCTAGCACAAATCTTTGCTGCCTATAGTCTCGCAGGTTGTGTTCTGCTCTGCAGTGTGCGAGTCACACTTGTGAGCAACCTCTTTATGTATGCAAGTAGAAAACAGTTTAGCTTTTATGACTGATCAGTGTCTTGCCATGCAACAGGAGCTGTTGTAAGCTGACAAGTGAAGTCAAAGCACCAATGTTTGATATCTAAGCAGGTTTTCTCCCATCTAGCCATGCTGTCAAACTTGCATCAAGCTTTTCTGAAATGGACTTGGTGCTGTGTACTAGCCCTGAAATAAGATCTCACCCCATGCTTGGCTGGCTTTTCATGTGCTTAAAATCTTCCCTTCTTTTTCTACTCATAACAATTAAAAATATTTGTCTCACACCTGCTAGCTCTAAGTTTCCTAGTCTAGGTCTTCCATTTGAAAAGCATGGAAGAAGAGAGTGAGAATTAAAGTTGGTTCTCAAGCTTCAGTCAAACAGGTTTGTTTAGTACAATGCTGTGGTGATTTAGTATCTTTGGTCGTGCAACGGTTCCTTTCTTCTGTGTTGCTAGACTTTTAACATTTTTTGCATGAAGCCTGGATGTAGGTGGTGTAACTTTCAGAATTATCATATTTTCTCCATTAAACAACAGTTAAAATCTAGGGAGTGTTCTTATGGATGGATATCTGACCTTGTGTTCATTAACTTTTCCTTACTCTTTTTTTGAAAGGCTCTTCCTTCTTCCATGATGATAGTAGCTGTCTACTGCCCAGTGATAGCAGCTCTCTTTATCGTTTTGAAGATGGTGAATTACCGCTTGCACAGGGCGCTGGATGAGGGAGAAATTGTGGAGAGGAATGCTAGTGAGCATATGGACAGAGGTGCAAAAACAGAACAAAGCAGTGTTTCAGCCAAGAGGAAAGACAGCAACGGGCCCAGGTAAGTCATCTGCTGAATTTTGCATACTGCTTCAAATGACTAACAGTCCTGTCTTCATCAGCTGTGTAACTGGAATGGTGATTGAGATTAAACACTGGGGAATATAAATACACACCTCTGTGGTTCTGAAAGATGGTTTTAAGCCTGGTCTTGAAAAGTAGACTTATTTACCTGTTAGGTTTGAAATGATGCATTCGCAATAATTTCCTAGTTCCTTCCCCAAAGGAGTTCAATAACAGTAGTGAACATGCTGGAAACAATAGCATGGAAAATGTGAGCCGATTAGGTCACTAAATACTTAATGAACATAATTAGTACAAGTAATCTAATTTCAGTAGTAGATGTAGTATTAAAAATCTAGCTGTCAAAGACCACAAACTACATGCTAATTCTTTCCTCACTAGGGAGTGTCTGATTGTGTTTCAATTTTAGTGTTGGATACAATACTTGACTCCAATCTTAGTCTTTTCAAAGAGAATGCTGTCCTGTGAATTTGGAAATTCTGGAATTGCTCTGCCCAGTAATGACGATAATGATTCTCAAGTACTGTCAACAGGAGGTGATTCCTTTCCAGAGATCTCCTTTGTAGCCAGCATAAAACAATGTCAGAGGTATTTCTCCTCTGACCAGACTATTTGGAGAAAGAAGAGTAAAAGATGACTCATCAGCAAGGCCAGCGTAACCAGTTTGATCAGACTGTGAATGTTACAAGCTCTAATATCAAAGCCTCTGCCTGTCTTAGATAATTGTGACCATCTTAAAAGTTAAACTGCATGAAATAAATCAACATTGAATTGTTAGCTTTTAGCGACGACCTTTCTCTTGTCTCTGAGTTTCCGGTACTAGGAGACATGAGTAGTTTTCAAAGTGAGATGATTTGTATGCTGTCCTGACTCTTAAAAGGTTGTGTGTCTTACTAAGGAAATGTGGTTGAAAGAAGCCTCTTGAGTGTGTTTATTGTGATGCTTTTAAAGAAAGGAAGTGTTAAACTGCTGCTCTTTAAAATGATCAGCATTCTTGTGCATATATGGGGTAGCCTCTCATGGTCCTGGGTTCTTGTGTATCTTCTCTCAGCTCAGGTATTGTTGGCAAAAACGGTGTCTTAGATTCCTCTAAAGCTGATATACAGTAACTTCTTGTATCAATCTTTTATAAACCTGACCCGTTTTCCATGATGTGTTTGGCAACTGAAGCTGCTGATTTTAATTGTGCTCTGTTTAGATCACCCTATACTTTACCAACACTGCACTCACTGTACTGAGGTATTTTGGGAGACTGCTTCCCTAGTTGTATCTTAATGCTTACTCTGCTTAATAAAATTTGTGGAAGTAAACTAGTAGTCTGTTCTTTCTCATGCAACCTTGATAATGCATATTTTAGGTGTGACCTTTAGGTGTTTTATCTGAGTTGTTTTTGATGGGGTTTTTCTTTTTGTTCGGTGTTTTTGCCATTTTGCTTCCAAAACAGGGGCCCAAAGTTGGTAAGGGAATTTCTACTAGTGTTGTGAACTACTTCTGGATGTTTTATTCTGTTTTGTCTAGGGAGCAGTTGACATGGGACGAGATTATAAGTAAGCATTGTGAGCTCAGAAGTAGAGGTTAGTTTAATGCTGTGTGTCCTTCTTGCCAACTAAAGTTTCATTAACTTTTATATGATCCTTGTTCCCACTTTCAGGTCTCTTAACTAGAACTGGGAACAAGGTCAATGCAGAAATTACGGAGTTACTTTTTGGTAAGTGGGATGTACAGTATACACTAATCTTTGCCTGGAAGCTTACAAGAACTCTGGGGTAGCATTCAAACCAGTAGATGGGATGTAGGGTGAGTGTTTAATTTTGAGCTGTAACCTTTTTAGTAAGTTAAATTGGAACAGTCATAAAAACCCAAACTGGTCTGGGAAAAGAATGTGTGTGTAGGGTTTTCTGATTTTTAAACTCCACTCCCCTAAAACAAGGTGGATCTGAGCAGAGATACTATCTTAAATATTTGCAGAATCAGAATATTAGTTTTGATAGTGTAGGCTACAGCATGTGATACTGGGTAAATATGCATAACGTATAGTTTGCAAAGCCATCCTTAAGTTTTTACCCTGACACATACACAGACACGGAGAGCACTTTAGACACAAATCATAGTATATTTATTTGCAGGATTAAGCAGTGGTTGTGTTGAGGATTCTGTTTAGCTTCGAAAACTGCTGTTCTTTTTTTTCTGAAGATGTTTATCATCCAAGTGGTGCTTTCAGGTATTTAACAAATTATATGCTGTCATTTGTGGGCTTGCTCAGACTTCTTCTATCTTTAGTTAATTGTGGTTTGTGGATGAGGATTTTTTTCCATGAAACTTTGACATGTTTAAGCAAAGAACAACTTACCATTCCTTTAGAAATGCCTTATTTTTTGCTGTCCTCTTTCTAAAGCTGAAGTTCTTTAGTTAATGTTTTTGAAAGAAAGTCTTAATTTAGAGAAAGGAATGTGAGTTGCCATTTTCATACTTCAGGTATAGTAGTGTTTGTGTGAGGTTTCATGGAAGCAAGTGAAGGGGATACAGGTTCCTGGTCTCATAGAAATATAGAAGAAACAGTGCAAGCATGATCTTCGTTGGGTATCAGTGGACCCATATAAGAGAGTGGACCCACACTTAAGTTAATCCTGCTTTTGCATATATGAATATATCTTCTTGCCAGTGGCTGTTATGGTTCAAAGTATCATAAAGTGCTTATGTAGTGACACTGCTGTTCTGATCTCCATCAGCATGAGGAACTACAATAATGATGCTACATAAATTTCATATTTTCTTCTACCAAGTAAAGCTAGTAGCTGGAGAATGTTGCATCTTTGAAATATTTACAGTCTACTTAAATATGTGCAAAGAAAATTTTAAAAAGGTGATCTCTAAGACTGTTGCTTTGCCTTTACTATTTATTCTCCTTGCAGTTTTCTGTTGCTGGCAGACTTGTTCTTGAGTTTGGAGTTAGTTTTTATTTTTTGCTATCATTAGTGATTCAAGCTTAGAAGAAAATTTCTCTTAATACTTGAATCTGTTGTGATCTAGGATTTGCAGTACATGCAGTAGTTCTTATGTGTTTAGACAGAAGCCTCCTGACTAGTTACCCTACTCTTTTATTGGACACTAAGGGCAGATGATGATTTTCAAAAGAAAATAATGAAACTCTTCCTCTGCTTTGTCCAGAAATCAAAGTAACTTATTTCCGATTACCCCTCAAAGTTCTGGTCTGAATGTCAGATTTCTGTAGTCAATCAGCCCAAGTCAGATTTTAAACTTGAATTCATATAGACTTACGGCTTCTTCATGCTTTTGATTAGTCTCTGACATGCTGATAGTATATATATACCTGCAGATAGTAATTTTCTTTCAGAGTTACTAATAATTAGAAATAGGAGTTGTAATTTGCTTTATGTCATCTTTGAGTGCCTCTTTCACAGCAGTCTCTATTGCTGGATGTAATTTTTTCCATCTTTTTGATTTGTGTCGTAACTTCACTGCAGTTATTTTGTTTGCAAACTGTAAAGTTTAACACTTGCCTAAGGAATGAAGACAGCGAACTGTAAGAAACAGATTTTAGAATTTCATATCAGTAAGGCCTGGCTACAGCACTAGCATTATGTAACTCCTAAAGAACTCTGGATGTTGTGAAAGTCTGGGTACTTAGGCATACAGTGGTCAATCCTAGAAATCTGTTTCCTGCTTCGTCCTGTAGACTTCATTTGTTGATGGTTGTTACTAGCTTTTGTTCATCCATTCATTTGTGTGTGCTGTCCTCACCCTCTGAGTAGAGGGATGGTGATGGATTTTGTTGTTGCTTATGCTGATATCTGATGGTTCAGTTTTAGACAAAATTGCCACCTTCTTTTGGCTAAATGCCTGGTTCTTTGTATGAAAGCTTATTTTCAGTGACTTATTTTTCTACTTCATAGGATGTACTTTAATCACATGCAGTATTTCTCAATGAATTATTCAAACAGGAAAGGCATTTCTTCTTTTTGTGAAAGGCATTCTTTGTTATATCTTCAGTTAACATTGTAATGTATGCTGAACTTAAGCATTATGAGAATTTTTCAGCTTAGTTTTTAAATTCATGTTATGTCCTTATGTATTAGTAAACTGCTTACAGAAGGAATGCTTTGGCTGAAGCTGGTGCTGTATCTTTTAAAATTCATTTTCCTTACCTGCCTTAGTGTAGCTGATAATATGATGTCAGAGAAGGCTCTGTAAACAGCCATCTCTATGAGTATGCCTGTCTCATTGCTGAGCTGGAGCAAAATGATGGCTTCTCACTTACTTTTTTAATTTGCTGGAGTTGGACCATAGTTGTTCTGCTAAGTAATGGCTGGTTGTCTTTTAAGTTAACTTATTTTAACTGAAGGAATATATTTCTACCTTCAAACTGTCCTTTTTTTTGTCACCTCTGATGCAGGAATAATCATGTGCTTCTTATATTGTCTAGAGTGATTCTCAAGGTTATGCCTTTACACCTCTCCAAGATGACAACAGCTTAACATGTCATGCTGTACGATGAATCATGTGTCAGGTCCTTTAGTGTACAGTTTGTTTACAATATCCTTGATTGATGTCCATGTGTTTCAAAGACTATTAGAATCACAGAATATGCTGAGATGCAATAGATCCATCAGGATCATCGATTCCAATTCCTGGCCCTGTGCAGGCCACTCTATTAAGTGTTGTTCTTATTGCCTAAGACTTTCCTATAAGACTAGTTGTCTATTAAGTAAATCTTACAGTACTTCTATCCATTTTTGTTCCCTTCCTCAGAGGACCTTTGTCTTTAGTGTATTTGGTCTGGCTGGACGAGTGGTGTGCATGTGTACTTTGTTAAGCAAAATGCTGGAATCTGATTGTTGAGAAGCTGTTGTTCATATTTGGGAAGAAGCAGAGGAGATCAGTGTCAAATTACCGTGCAGATACTTCTGTTTACAAGTCTCCTGGATCAAGGTGCTTTAAGAGAGCTGTAATGGGATAGGAAAAAGAGTGCTTCAATTGCTTCCTCTTCGCAATTAACAATCAGTGCTAAGTTGGATCCTTGTGTTCTAGTCCTCAACTGACTTCAGACCCCATTGTCCTAATGGACAAATCCAACTTGCTTTGGTTTCATAAAATATCTGCCTTTGACAAGCTGAATTCTGTGGAATTACAATTTGATGGTGTTGTTCTAGGAAATACTTTCAAACCAATAGTTATTAATCTTGAAAGGGTGAAATCACTAGGATGCAATGATATATATGTTGTACCTGAAAATATTTCTTGGTAGTGAGTGTGAAGTATCTGAGGGGAAGTTATTTTTGAGTAGAAAGATGTTTTTTGCATCCCTGGGAGAGATGCTATGGCCCTGTATGTCTCTGCATGTGTAACAGCTTTCACATGTGGCTTTCTTCATTAGCCATCCTGGCTTTTGCTCCCAGATTCAGTCTAAGGAAAGGACTAGGAGTCATTTCCATGCTTTGAGTTCTATGTAGTATTTTTTTCTGTAGGTGAATTTCTAGGTGTTATAGTTGAACAGCTGATTCAAAAGTAACATGTGTGCACATAAAGACAGGGAGAATTTAGTACGTCAGCATTTTGGAATGCCTTGTAGGGCCCAAGTCTTCACAGTTTGTGTTGGCTGGTGACAGCAGACTTGTGGCAGCAGTTTCTGTGACAGTATAAGGAGTGCTCTGGCTCAGACTGAGCTTCCTGTGTCAAACAGCCAGTGTTTATCCAAGATATTGGGATATATTTGAGGCCCTGATTTTTGAGAAGGGAAAATTTGTTTTGAATATACACTCAACATAGACAGAATTTCGTTTAACTGGTGGGGATAATGTGTTGATTTTTTTTTTTTTAATGTTTCTCTCAGTGACCCTGGTGGAGGGATTGAGATGTCAGAGTTCATACGAGAAGCAACTCCTCCTGTTGGCTGTAGTTCACGCAATTCTTATGCTGGGATAGACCCAAACAACCAGGTAAGAATTAAAGTTACTTACAGTTGTTGCTTTAGTATTGCTGGTTTCCAGTCTGTAGATAACCTCTTCCTATTATTTTATGGAGTTTTGGGGTAACTTTTATTAGATAAAACAGTTTTCTCTATGTAACTATGTAACTGCTTTATTAGGAAGGTATTGCATTCTCTCAGCAGTGTAGCTCTCAACCCATCTTGTACTTAAATTAGGAATTGCTGGATTTTGAAAGGGAACCTACTGTCCCATCAGAAAGTATTCCCTCTTCCTCAGTTAGTTTTTTTCTGATTTAAGAAATCAAAATGGCTCAGAGTACAGTGAGCTAAGTACTAAGAACCCACTGTGGTGGGATTCCCTTTTGCCTTTGGGTAGCTCAAGCTGTATCTTCATGCTTATGTTCTAACTTTGTCTTCCTCCCTTACTTTTGTTTGCTCTGCCATTTAAAACTTAGTTGGTAAATTTAAATGCTGTATTTGAGGAGGCTACTGTTAAGTTACCTTAGAATGTTTCCACTGTTGATTATTTCTTGCAGCTGTGAATAGCTTTCTGCAGGTTATTATTCCTGATAGGTCAGATTTTGCTGTCAAAAAGGTTAATTTGCTGAAGTATAAAGAAAGATAAACTGCTAGAAATGGGAAGACTAACACTTTATTTTTTTGGATGTCCGCTGCAAGATCTTCATTTCCCTGATTTGTTCAGCAGGGTTGGGAAGAAAGCAATAAATAGGGAGTCCTGCCAGATGGAAGTGCTGAAGAAATGGCTTTATTACATTTTAATGTAACTTCATTATGCTCTAGTTGTCTTGAATTTCACTGGGGAAGTGGCTCTATTCCTGTATTATGTCTACTATGTTTATGTGTTCAAATTCTATAGCATTGGATGTGCTATTCCTTCTGTTTGGCTTGTGATATTTAGCTGATTGTGGCTAGTTTTTATCAAGCCTTTGTGAGGACAAGTAGATGAACTGTCCAGGCTGTACAGTTATGTTGATAATGAACAATGCAGCATAATGGTAAAGACACTGAACCTGTCTTCAAATGACATGGAAGTCCTTGGCGTGGTATTACAATATCATGTTCCTTTAATTAGCTCTCTGAGCAAGCAGTAGATAACGAAGTGTAGTGGCATGCTAATGTTGGTGGTTTTATTTGAATCATTCTCAGTTATGCAGCATAGATACTCATAGATTTTCCTTCTAGAGAGAAAGCATTTGCTGGTGCAAAGGAGTAGGAAGCAATGGGCCATGTAGGAAGATAGAAACATGATGCCCAGACTAGTTCTTTGACTGGTTGTTGGAAAAAATATGTTCCAAACATAACAGTTTTAATCTTAAAGCATGTGAAAGAGTTCAAGATACTGTGAAAGTATAGGGTTTATAATCTATTTGTCCTAATAAAATTAGTATTCACTTGTCCTCTGTGATGGAGTGTGCAGCATCAAAAGGTAACATGAACAGTAATCATCTGAGTTATGTTGAGTTTTACTGTGTGAAATAGCTTTCCTGTGATGATGCATTTGTATTCACCGACAGCCTTCATCAAAGCATGTTATTGAATGGAAAAATGTTGGAACATGACAAAATGAGTAACTAAAAATGTGTGTGACAATGTTGTGAAGAAAATGTATTAGACAAGCTCTTAGCTGCTTTTTCAGATTATACATAAACCCACTGTTCTTCTCTACTATGGCTGAATAGGATCTGCACACATGTTCAGGTTACCTGAAATTGCTCTGCTTACAGAAAATAACTCGTAGAATTATGCTTTTTTCCCCAGAGTAATTTTAACTAGGAATTTTTTGGAAAACAACATCCCAGTAAGTATACATCTATCAATCAAATGGCCATCATATTTATGTATTATAGGTTCAGATTTTGTCTTTGAGTGCTCTTCCTCTATTTTATTTCTGAGTGATTTAATTATATGACACCTGCATTGTTGTATGCTATTTATAGTTGAGAGGTTGTATTGAAAATGTTATTGAAGGTAAGACCAAATTCTCTTTAGCATTTCTGCAAAGTAATCTCAAATGAATTACAGGATATATTTAGAATGGCAGGTTGCAAACCTAAATGGTGAAATTTTTTGTATGAGCAGATACCATGCCTGCTGGTTTGCCATAGAATGTGAAATTAACTGGAAATATATATATATATCTTCACATGGAAGCAGTTTTTGGATTTAGTTTGTTGTTTACCATGTTAAACAGATAAGTTTTAGATTAAAATGGATAAATTTTGTACTTAAGATGGTGTTTTCTTTAAGCATTTTAGACAACCATAATCAAGGCATTAAATGTTAAGTTTTACAACAGCAGTTATTAGTATAGCACTGCACTTGTACTTTGTTGCCACATTAAGTAAGGAGAATTCCTAGATTAGGAGCTTTTTAAAATCAGCATAGTAAAGTCTGTGTGTTGGTATTCTCAGTTTAGTTAGAGAGAAAACAAAGGTTTCTAACCAGGCAGAAGCCTGGGAAACAGTTGAGAAAAAATGTAAATAATTCTTTATCTCTCTTGTTCACATTGTTTATAAATAAGTTTTGCTACTGTGCATCATTCACTGCACACCAATTGTGTGCGGTGTTTTTACTTCAGGACCTATAAGAAGAGTGGTGTATTTGGAATAAATCAGAGTTCTACTCTCTCACCTTCTGAAGTGGAGTCATTTCACACCATCCTGCCTCAACAGCATCATCCATGTACACTGGCTTTTGAATGGAATAGCACTGTGATGTAGTTGGATGCTTAATTACATGACTTTATCTCTTTGCAGTGGCAACACGGTCAGAATTTTACAGCACTGTGCTGCTGGATGCTTTTGTGCCTTTAAAAATCTTTCCTAGGCAAATGCATGTGTTGGAGTAATAGGAAATAGCAATTGTTTATTTCCTGAAAGTGTACAGCTTTTTACATAATTTTCTGTTTCTAGGTTGGATCTGGGTTATCTCGTCTGGGAACAGCAGCAACCATCAAAGGTGAGATTTTTAGCTACTTATATTACCTTGCAGGAGCACTTCAAATGACTATTGTTTACTGTGTTTCCAAATACTGTCTTAGTCATCTTGACTTCTTTTTTTTTTCTTTTTTGAGTGAAATACAGCATTTACTAGTTGGGGGAAGTCTTCTTTGGACATTCAAATGATATGACCAAAACATGAGGAGAGAATATTCTGGGGCCTGTATTCTGCTTCCCATGGAATGACAGGTCTATAAAATTTGTCTATAAAATGCAGAGCCAAAGAGTTGGAATAGACTTCGCTCTGCTTTTTTGAGTTTAGTGCAATCAATTACCATTCTGGTATTGTATATTAATGACTTGATTACTACTTGTTGTTTGACATTTGGCTGAAGTAATTTCCAGCCCTAGTGAGCTTCTGTGAGTTGAAAAGATAAAAATTTTGCATATTGTGAGTATTTTCTTATAAATTTATCCAGCCAATAATAAGGTAAAAAAATTGAATGTGAATTTTTGTCATCTTGTTTTTGATTTTGTTTTTCTCCTTGCTTTTTCTGACCATTACAAATATTTTCTTAGCCTACCCCTCTTTTTTTATGGACAAGCATGCAAAAAGAAATATTCCAATAGATACACCTTCAAGGGGAAAAAAAAAGTCTTAATTGCCATTGAGCTCTGTAGAAGATAATAGAAATAGAGTAGACAATACTCATATCTAAAAGAAAACTTGTGTTATTGTAATTATGTAACTATTGTTACTTACCTATAAATTAAATACAAGCAACAGTCTTTCATGACAGTTGAGAATGTAGGTGTATGTGTTAATACTTTGAGCACTAGTACTCTTTTTTTGTTAAAACTTGCAGGTGATACTGACACTGCCAAGACCTCTGATGATATCAGTTTAAGTCTTGGCCAGAGTTCTAGCCTATGTAAAGAAGGGAGTGAAGAACAAGGTAAAATTTCTTCTTCTCCATATTTAAACGTGGTATTTTGTTACCAAAGACCCTTTGCTTAATATGCTAAATAAATTAATGCAGTTTATTGATGCCCTTTCTTAGAGTCTATCTTGAAGTTCCCTGTTTCCTTTCTCAATTACTCAAGCTTCTGAGAAGCGTAATTTGAATGCTTTATTCTTTGATTGTGTGTTCCTTGTTCTGACATCTTCCAGTAGGTAATAAATATTTACTGTCGCCTTGCTGCTGAAAGATAGCTAGCTTACATTTCTTTAGGCAGTATCTCTTAGACTACATGTAGACTGTAGTTAATGGACTTCATTGTAGATTAATTTGTTTTCCTTATGAGTACAGACAAATGTAAATGTGGCAGGCTTTTCTATAAATAACCCCATACAGAGCTTTGTGTTCTTAGAGCTATAGGCTGCTTTCAAGATGCAAGTTACCAGAGCTTGGTGAATTTTTGAAAGTTTTTTTCTACTGTGTAAGGAAACTTTAGCTTGTGTTCTGAAAAAAACCAGGACAATTTTTTATTTAGCTTCATTGCTAGGAAAAGACCTACTCGGAGTAAAACAGAGCATAAAACCAAAGGGAAATCTTTGTTTGCTGAGTTTGCTGTTTGTTTGCTGGTGATTAGGAGGAGGTTAATTCTGAGAATACCACCATTCATTTTTGCCAGTCTAATCACTCATGGTTGTCAGATGGATGATTCAATCATTACTGTGTGATTCAGTGCAAAAAGTGTGTTTGAAATGGAGCATCACAGGTGGCCATGCTGTTGTAATAGGCTGCAGGGTTCTATGACTTTCAGCTGAGTAATATAACTGTGAAGTCTCTTAAGTTGCATGCATTCAGATATACTCTACAGGAATTTAACAACTGTAGAAACTTAACTTGGCCTCCAGATCTTCTATTTTTAGTGACAGTAGCAAACGGGAAAATAGCCTGACTTTTAGTACTCGTGGACACTTACAGGAGAGGAGACTACTTGTGATGGGTAACAGGAATTATTGTTTTAACCAAGCACTAACAGTAAATCTTCATTATTTGATTTAACAGAAAAATACACCATTTTTTTTTTTAGAGGTAGTAAAACTCAGTGACTTCATAGAGAGTTTCATTATAGTACAAAAAGATCTGTGACAGTGATTGCATCCTTGCTAACTGTGAGCTTACTTGGTATCTGATAAGAAAGGTGTTTTTTTTTTTTTTGTTTTTGTGACTTTAGAGTTAATGGGGTTTACTGTGTTTTCATTAATAACTTTAAAGTTTGTTTATTGCATGTAGGAACCAAAAAGAAAGGCAGGGTACTCTTATAATTAAGAAACTTTGGGTTATGTAAAAATATTAAGTCTGAGACACATAAGCAATAGCGGAGGTTGGGGACTTGTCAGAATTGCCTTATCTGATTAGTTGCTAGGGATAAGCTGGTATTGATGGTTTCTTTTTTTATTAAAAAAGGCCTGTCAGATTTGCCCAAAAGTTATAAAATATTTTTAAATGGTAATGTGACAAATTCATAGTACTTGCAATTGGATTTTTAATTTCATTTACTTTGTCTGATATAAACAGTTTTAAAGCAAGTTGTATAACTTACATGAACATTCTACATGAATATTTCTAAATATGTACTTAAACAGATTTGGCAACTGATCGGAAGCTTTTTCGTCTGGTGTCGAACGACTCATTTGTCTCCATCCAACCTTCATTGTCCTCTGGACAGGATTTGCCAAGGGACAGCAGTGATAAAGTGTGCCTCTCGAACAACCAGCTTGTGGACCAGTCTAAAAACAGTGCATGTGACACAGAAGTAGCTTCGCTGGTAACTCTGCATTCTCACTCCTATAGGAAGGATCATAGACCTCGAGGTGTACCAAGGACTTCTAGCTCTGCTGTTGCTTTTCCAGATGCTTCACTAAATGACTTCCCCCTCTATCAGCAAAAACGAGGACTAGATCCTGTCAGTGAGTTAGAAGCTTCCAAGCCCCCTTCTGGATCCCGAGAGTCTTTGGGTGAGAACTCTTGCATTTCAGGAATTTTTCAGTTAGATGACATTCTGAAAAGTAGCAGCCCTCAACCATTGACTAAGAGTGGGAGGAGCAAATCCTTGAAAGCAGACAAAAGTATGGACAGTCTGAGAAGCCTGAGTACTAGAAGCAGTGGTTCAACAGAAAGCTACTGCAGCGGGACTGATCGTGACACCAACAGTACCATCAGTAGCTATAAAAGTGAACATACTAGCTCAACGCATATAGAAAGTGTATTGTCAGAGCATGAGGAGGAGTCTCCGAGAGAAGAGAAAAAGGATGGTAAGAAAAAAGACTGTGGTGTCGACTCAGAGGATGACAGTAGTTCTACTACTGACAAAAGGACTAGTAGCGAAAGGACTGCTGTGGAAGTGAGTCTTCTGGGTGGTGTTCAAGAGGTAAAGGGTTCTAATGCATCTGATGAGATGCACAGCCAGAAAGGTCTTGGTGCCTCTGCTTCAGAAGAGGCTAATAAGAACCCACATGCCAATGAATTGACTACACAAGCTGACAGGCCGCTTGGGAAGGCTGCTGAACAAAGAGATGAGCAGAGTGAGAAACTAGCTGTGTTAGTCGATTCAAGAGCTGCTAAAGAAACTAGTGGAAAACAAAAAGAAGGAGATGTTCGACCAAAATCTTCTAGTTTAATACATCGAACAGCCTCTACCCACAAGTCCAGCAGGAGGAGGACAGGAAAAAAGCGGGCTAGTAGTTTTGATTCGAGTCGGCACAGGGAATATGTTTCCTTCCGAGGTGTATCTGGTACTAAACCTCATAGTGCTGTGTTCTGTCACGATGAGGACTCCAGTGATCAAAGTGACTTGAGCAGGACATCAAGCATGCAGTCAGCTCACCAGTTCAGCAGTGATAGCTCTTCCAGCACCACCTCCCATTCATGCCAGTCTCCTGAGGGAAAATACAGTGCTTTAAAGACCAAATACGTTTCTAAAGACCGTGGGGGCACAGACTCTGAAAATGTTCACAAAACCCATGTAAGCTCTGAAGGAATTAGCAAAAAAAGATCGACACGACGGACTTCTAGCACAAACAGTGCCAAGAATCGTGCCAGAGTATTAAGCCTGGACAGTGGTACTGTAGCTTGTTTAAATGACCCAAATAGTTTAATGGCACCAGGTAACATAAAACAGTTAACCACTTCAAAATCTGATTTGGAAGCCAAAGAAGGAGAGGTGCTAGATGAGCTATCTCTGTTGGGAAGGGCTTCACACTTAGAGTCAGTCACTCGTTCTAGGAATAGCTTACCAAGCCAGGCTACATTTCCTGAAGGGGAAGAGCAAGAATCAGCAAGTGGAGGTAAGTAAATGACCTACCAGAAGTACCTTGTCATATTTTGTTAATTAGTATGGTATTTATGACTTAAATTAAAACTATACTTAAGCATCCTCCCTGTTTTTCTACTCTTGCCTAGAAAAACTGAAAAAGCGTTTCCTTCATAATGTCTTGAAAGATCTACTGAAATGAGTTTGAATCCAAACAGGTTTTTCAAAATCTTTAAGTAGAGGTTTGTTACCAGCAGTCCTTGTTAATTAAAGCTGTATCTTAAAACTACTGTTTGTGATCAAATCAAGCCTTCTCCATTATACTGAGTAATATCAACGACTGCAGCCTCTCTGGCATGGCTTGAGGTAGTATCAAGAAATAAAACCAATCCCAAACTCTTACCATGCTGCCTTTAATTGTGAATTCTTACAGTGGTCTTGTTACTAACTTGAATTCTCCTAGGGATTTAATTTTTGCTTAGCCTTGTCACTGCTGTCTAGACAGTCTTGTTTACTTTGGGTTTTTTGGGGTTTTTTTTTGTCTTCATTATGTGAACACAATAACCATGCAGTGCTGGAGAGGAATGCAGTTTCCTCTTATTTTCCGTAACTATTGTTCTGCTTGGTGTAATGAGAACAATGAGCTACCTGGAGTAGCTGTTATTAATACAGATGTGTAGGGGCATTTAAAACAAAATTTGGATCTCTTAATATTTTTTTGTGTATTGTATTACAATGTTTCTTTCTTTTCTTGGTCAACTATATTGGCTACCTTAACTGGAAGGCTTTTTGCGTCAAGGTAGATAAGTTTACATTTTCAGAACAGTATGAGGTTGGTAATTAACTCAGTGTGACTTCTGGAATTTTCAAAGGCCAGTACCTACCAGATAATCTGGATCATTACATGTAGGTGGACAAACCCTTCATAAAATTGTATTTTAAATGAAGACAGGTATTTTAACAAACTATAGCAAATTTGACTGTTCCTAATATGTAGACTGCCTAAACAAAATATAGTGATTCATCTTCAAAAGCGGTTTTTAGCCCACAGTGAGATAAGATGTATGACCAATAGTAGGTTTTCTTTTGGGTTTTTTTTTGGGTTTTTCATGGAGTTGTTTTTGTGGTGTGTCCCCCACTATTAAAAAATCAGTCATAGAAATCAGTACAATTGATTTGTGAGGAGGAAAAGAAAGTGTGCCACACTGAAGTTCTGCTGTGTATTGATTATTGATTAATTTTGACTGGTTTACAATTAGTTCAGACCTATTTATATGGCTTCATTTTACCAATTCATGTAGATTTGTTCTTTTTTTTACTTTCTCTGTTATTCCTAGTAAGAGATTTTTGCAGTAGCTTTAATAAAAGGGTCAGGCTTGCTGTTCTAGTACTAACCCTAGAAGCTAAACGCTTAACCCTAGAAGCTAAACGCTTAACACACATTCTTCCTAAGATCTTGTTAAAGTAACAGCTCTTCATGCCCACTGAGAGTAATTTGACTAATAAAAGGTCTCCTTTATGTATTTGCCATTTTGACTCTATGCTTTCTTTAGCACAAAACTTGATTTCATTTTGTTTTGTGTTATTACTGCTTAAAGTTAATAGGATTCTCCCTTTATGTGCAAAGGAGGATTAACCTAGTTTACGTTCTAGAGCATGTCAGACTTTGTATGCGCTTACTACTTGTCAGTAGTCTGAAAGAATTGATGGAAGACAGATGTTGAATATTGTGTAATATTTTGATTGCTCTTTTGAAAAAGTTTGTCTTCCCCACTATTTCACTCAACACATTTCAAAGTAATCTTAAAGGTACAAATCTGTAGCAGCTTAAGCAGGAAAGGCTTGCTGTTATTCTTGCTGGCCTGATCCATTTCCAGTTTAAAATTTTACATGAGGGTCATTTGAAGTTGTTTGTATTTTTAATCAGTGGCAAATACCCAAGCAGTAATTCTCTGTGGATTGCAGGCTGTCTTTAAGAAGCAATTGGGAATCAAGTTCTCCAGATCTGGTGACATGATATGGTTAATAACACTAGCTGTATATTGTTTCTTCCTACCAAGAGAAAAGGAAGTATTTGCTTTGTGATTTTAAGAAATGAATGCCATTCTGCTTTTTTTTTTTTTTTTAAAGCAGAACAAAATTATGATTACTTAATTTTTCTGTAGCACTCCTTAAACATTTACTCAGTCTTGTCTAGCACCAAGGCAGTAATTACATTGCATTTATCTGTTCATGATCAATCTGACTAATTCTTTCATAGTGTCTTCCTTTACTGGTTTTTCTCTTGGGTTTATTGGGTTGTTTTCCCCACAATTTATAGCTTATATTACAAGTTTTGTAACATCTGTATCTTTAATTGTGGATTTCTTCTTTAGACTTACCCATGACTAATAGTAATGAGAGAAAATGTTTTAACTCTTAGAATCTAAGTGCTTTCTTACTACTGAGATGTATTCACCTTTTGGGAGGTTTTTTAAAGGCATACATGTGTAATATAAATACATGTTGTGTGTATATATGTATAGCATTGTTTTTGAGAATATTAAGAAATTATTTTATTGTTGCAAGTGAATTACAGAATCAACTTGGTTTGGATTTTCATAAGATCAAGGGATATTGGTTGGATGTGATTTTTAGAAGTAGTCTGGTCCAACTGCCTGCTGAAAGGATTATTTTATAATTTTATATAAATATTTTTAAATGTCTGTGATTGCTTATGATAACTTTCTGAAACAACTAATTAACAGATGCACACAGGATAACTAAAAGACTGATATTAATAACACCTGCTCTTTTCCAGTCAGCAGCTTTCAGTTCCTGTTTTTGAAATATGATTTAAATCAGTAATTATTATTTCATTTTATCCTTCAGTCTTTAGAGACTAGAACTACATTCTTGTTTGTGTAACTGCTAAAATGTGTATCTTAATGGATATGGTTTTTACTAATCTTCTACTAAGCAGGATATTGTACAAACTTATAAATATTTCACTTCTGCAGATACAAGCTAGTAGTTTCATTTCTGTATTATTATGCCAGGAAGTGGTGATGACTCACTTGCTGTGAGATAGTATATGCATTTGAATAGAAATTGCAATTCATTAAAATGCAGAGAAACGGCATCTGAAAATTCTGAAATTAAGTGTATGTGGTGGATGTATAATAAAAAAATGGAAGGTGTCTTATGGTAGTTGTTATCCTTGTTCAACTATTCAGACTCCAAATGTAGTAGTGAGTGAATTGATGAGTCATGGGTTAGTTGCAGTTGCTCCACTGTCTAGTGATATTCTGGAAACACCCTCTTTGCATTGTCCTGTGTGTGTTTTTTGTCAGATATGTTTCTGGATTGCTGTTTGTAACCATTTAAAGAACCGCCATAAGAACCACTGTATGTAACACAGTGATATTTTGTAAAAGTTGAGCTGGTCTGAAAAGTCGTGTTCTCTCCAGTTCTGTATTAATTGTAAGAGATGTGCACTTTAAGTTGCTGCTCTGTTTTACATCTTGCTGCAATTTAAGGTTTATCTACTTTAAGTTTTTGAGATGCATACCCTTTTGTAAATAAAACTGCATGCAGTGTGACACATTTCTCCTTCTGTACATTGCATAGCAATATTGAAGAAACAGCTCATATTGTTTTCTGTCTTTTGAGGTCTGCAGTGCATCTCTATAGGCAGGCAAAATAGGGCTTTGTGAATTTGGATTAGTCTTGTGTTTCATACGACACATAGAAACCTGTTAGCCTCCTCAGTCTGTATGTATATGTACATATATGCTTAGCATGTCTGCCTGCAATTAATACAGTGCAGTTCTGTTACTCAGCCAATGGTTATGGCACCTGCTGGCAGCATATAACTTTTCTCTTCTATGCTGATGTTGCACATGGTCTATGTCATGACTTCATTTGCCTGTTTTGCAGAGCTGTTCCATGCTTCTGATGGCTTTAGTTCTTGCTACATTTTCCTGCAGATAGAATGAATGCAATTACAGAAGATGGGGCTTCTGATCTTGTTTTCTGTGCGTCTGCCAGTTCATGCTCAAACTACTAAACCGAACAGTTCTGCATGAGAAATTGGAGTTTAGAAATGGTAGAAACTGAAAAATGTGTCAAGTTCCTGTGATTGGGTTGTGTGTATGTTGGCTGTCTCTATTTGTTTATTCAGCAGAACTGTGCTGTAACTGGACCCAGGTAAGCAGATCAGCAGTAGAAAGGGCTCTCTTATAAACATGTTACTGTACTGTCACTGCTTTTGTGTGTGAAGGTTGAGTTTTACAGAATTCCCTCTGATGTTGGATGTCTTGTCATCCTAGTAGAGGTCAGATTGCTACCTTTAAGAGCTTAAAGATGTGGATAGTGTTAGGAATTATATATGAGGCTACTGTAGAATTTCTGCAGTTTTGGAACTTACCAATGAAGTAACATTTGGAATGCGTCTTGCATCTATTAGTTGCTAACCACTTCCTAGTAACACAGAATTTTAATATGTTTTGTGGGGACTCAATCCTGTGTTTTGTGCCCTTATGGATAATACAGAGGCTTTCTTTAGATGACTTTTGCTTGATTTGGGAAGAGTGGTTCTATTTTGTTGATGTGTTATTTATGTATTTGCTAAGTATTCATCCCAAACAGAAGTTGAATAGGAATTTTTGGTATTAGATAAAAACAAAGCTGCATCTTCATGCTGGCTTATAGAGGGTACCTGGGTTCATTGCTATACATATAAGCAAAAAAGTTCTAAAAGCTCTATCAGCTGTGATGGAATTGCTCACATTGCTGCAATATGTAGCTGTGAGATAAAGCTCATTCATTTATTTAATGTTTGGGGTTTTACTTAAGACTGTGTAATGCAAACATGACTTTCTGTGTATGATATGCTTCCATAGTATGCCGCATATGCTGGTAATGCTGTATTTGGAAGATGTACAACATCTTTTCCTTAAGGTGAATAAATATAAACACAAAGTCAGAACTAACTTTTTCAAAGATTAGTGTCAGTTATGAACATTTGTCTGCTACATGAATATAATACTAGGT